ACCCTCGGGCGCTTCTCAACCCTTTACCCAAGCAGTCCGTTGGCTGGGAAGGTCAAGCTATGAAGACATTTAAAAGGACTAACTTCCAAAATACAACAACGAAAGTTCAGACAATCAATGGAGAGAATATATTTTTTGACACTACCAGAAATGTCAGCCTTTAAATTATGGATAATTTGTACGTAGCCTTTTTTTAATGTCTGACGGAGGCTGTGTTATATAAATATATATAAAACACTTCAGCTGTTGTTTCTATCAGATAAAGAAAACACATTTCATTCTTTGAATTACTTTCTATGTTGAAATTCCAGGTTCATCCATCAGAGCTACTCCTTAAAAACCTGTTGTGATAATCTGCTGCTATCTAGGACGCCCAGTTAACATGCACTGGTTGATGTATGAAAGCATGTATGCCCATGTTGCCTTATATTTACAATTTACTTACAATTTACATGTAGAATAAAGAATTTTCCTATGGTATCTGAACTGGATGTGTCTTCAGTTACTGTACTTTGCATTGGTTTGTGCTCAGCCAAATATCACATACAGAGCACATATGAAAATAAAAGCAATTTATTTATTCATAAAAATAATTCCTCACAAGACATGGTGATCAATCAGAAATTTAAATTGTATTAATGAGACCAAATGGCAGCAGTGATACATTGGTCGTCACACGGTGAACATGAGAAACACCCAGTATGTGTGCAGTGATGTCCCATGATCATTTAACCTTTGTAAGCCTGCTCTGACCTGCTCTTCCACAGTTGGCAGAGCGGGCACATTTTTTTCTGCAACACCCTGCACCGCCTCCCACGGCACATAGCAACACATATTGGTGTTAGTTTTACTGTTAGCTGAGTGTACTCTGCAGCAGTTGCTGAGAGAAGCATGATGAGGAGGAGGTTGTGTGGCTCAGGTCTGTTCGATGAAACCTGAAGGTGGTCGACAACTGATGTTGGTCTATTCTGTAGACATCGATTGCATGTCTGTATGTCCTGGGAGAGGTATCCCACCTCTGTTGGTTTCTTCAATTTTTTCTCTGTTTAAGGGGTTTTTGGGGAGAGTTTCCTTATCCGAATCAAGGGTCTAAAATGATGTATGCTGTACGGCTTTAGGCAACTTTGTGATTGGTGATATTGGGTTATATGACTTGGCAAGCAGGGGATGAATCAAACCTGCAATCTATCAGTTGTAGGTCTACTTCTGTAACCTTTAGTGGCAGAATGTGTCCTCTGCAGAGGCTAAAAGATACAGCATGTCACAGTTTGTACTAAGGCGCAGCACTCTGCTATTCATTATACATATACTGAATTATTCTGTATTCAATCAAAGCTCCAGTTGGTTGCCCTTTGACCACCAATAATGTCTCTGACACACCTGTGGAGATCAAGAATGTTTTGAGATGTTTCACTGATTAAAAGGTGAGTTTGGCAGTTTGTGAATGTTTTCAATGTATGTAAATAAATCAGTCAAATATAAAGGGAGTGTCTTGCAATCACAATAATTTATTTGTGTAGCTGAGGTTCATGGACAGGTGAATGCAAAAGCATGCGGTGGGCGTACAAGTCATATAAGAAAACACTACGTAACTGGTTAAGCCAGTGCTTTCAACATTACTATGTTTGTTCAGAGTCTTAAGCATGACCAGCTGCTGATAAGAAAGCTGGTTTTAAATTACCTCCCTCACCTTTTCTACAGGAGGAGGGCAGGTGGTGTGTGGCGAATTTGCCCCACAACAACAGTTAAAATTAGATTGTTGGTTACTACAGTTACCACAGTGCACTTTGGATTTATACTCAACTCACAAATGAGGACTTGAGACTTGACTTAATCAAGACTCCCTAAAAACTCCATTTGAGACTCCCTGATGAGTAACTGATCTCCAAGAAGCTTGACTTGAGTTCCCTCCAGTCTTGACCTGATAATTGAGATGTGACTCCCAAAACATTTCACTTGAGACCTCAAGACCTTACAGACTTGACTTGAGACTTGAAGTATGACTCCCTAAAGACTTGTGACCTGAGATGTGACTCCCTAAAGACTCCCAAGTGACAGGCGGTCATTGAAAAACCATATAGCTCAAATATTTTATTTAGTAAGAGAATCACTGTCAACACATTCTAAAGCAAACCATTTTAATAGATAACATTCAGATACATGAAAACATGACTTAGACTCCTACTTTAGGACTTGAGACTGAACAGACTGAAACATTTTTGATAAAATCTCATACAAACTAATTTGTATGAGAGCTCACATGTACATAACTCATGTATTTGTTCATTATTGCACATTTAATTTCCCAAACAGACACACTGCCTATAATCATGTCCATTTTTCTTGATTCGTGCATCACAAAGCCAATCAGCAGATAACACTTTCAACAACTGAGTGAAGACGTGACGTGTGTGTGTACGTGTGTGTGTGTGTGTGTGCGATGAGAAAATACAGGTTTTGTTACCTGATAACATCCCACTGGTTGGAAAAGATTTTAAACAAACATGACTCACAATGAACACATTGAACCTATAAGGTTACCTGTTAGTGTTTGTGCGTGTCAGACTGGAATTTAACAAGAATATCCCAAAACAACTTTCTCCACGTTCACAACACCAGTCTGAGTGTTACAAATGGCATGTAATAATTGCATTTTTTTTAATGCACATATAGCTCCATGTGCATACCGTATGGTGCAGATTATACACACTGTCACTCACATACTTTACCCTCAACTAAACAAAGGTTTTCTGATGAGAGTGCAGGTACTGCCCCTGATGAGCTGCTTCAGGTTGAGGTGTGGCTCTGCATAAAAGGGGCTGCAGGTACCAGCTGCGTCTGTGGACTTTCTATCCAGCGGACAGTAAGTTCACCTTTAAAACTCTCGTGATGATTTGTAGCTTTTTAATTTAGAAAAAATATAGAACGAGTATGTGCAGAAGGTGATGGTCGTTTTTGTTGTGATTCTGAATTATTGCACATATCACACGTTAACACATGTTTTATAAAGGTGTTTCTCTCTTTCTTCTTTAATTATTGTGTGAAAAGTTTTAATTATTTAAATTTTCTTCAATTTCAGGGTCTAAAGTTTTGAAATGAATCGAGGTAAATAACACAGTTGCTTTTGGTTTATCCTCACCTCTTTCTTCCAAACATATTAACTGTCTGTTGCACACTTTATGCTCATATATTTATTGATGACTACTTACAGGACACTGTGGTCGAGGAGGCCACGGACAAGGTGGTGGGCATGGAATCTGCGGACAAGGTGGTGGGCACGGAAACTGCGGACAAGGTGGTGGGCACGGAAACTGCGGACAAGGTGGTGGGCATGGAAACTGCGGTGGCCATGGACATGGTGGCCATGGACATGGTGGTGGGCATGGAAACTGCGGTGGCCATGGACATGGTGGCCATGGACATGGTGGTGGGCATGGACCCTGCGGTGGCCATGGACACTGTGGTGGGGGGCACGGGCCCTGCGGTGGCCATGGCTGTGGTGGGGGGCATGGACATGGACATAAACATGGGCCCAAGCGCAGGAAAAGGCACAGGCGTGGCCACAAGCATGCCAATTGTCACAAGAAGGGCAAGGACTGTCACGGGGTAAGATTCAACAGTGTTCAGTTCATTCACAACAGAAATCAGAGAAGCATTTTAAAAGGTTTGTGCAATCCAACCCAATGAAAACTGAGCACAGGAATACCCTGTTATGGATGTTAAATAAATGGAGGTTTTAAGTTATTCATCCGGGGATAGAACAGCGCTATAAATGGACTTGTGCAGGAACAGTATGCTCCGCTTCCACACAGTTACACACCGTCAGACCTGGATATAGCTTGTTAGAGCAGTCGGGGGCTTAGTGTCTCAAAAGGGATGGGCAACACTGCTCTTATCCTTCCCTGACCTGATTTATCCTTCTCTGCTCGAAAACTCAAAATTGATTTATAAGAATCAAATTAATCCGACTCTTTTGTGAAGAATTGAATGATGAGCTGTCTTCACTGAATAACTTGTTTGTTTTTGTCTTTCAGTCCTCCAGCAGCTCCTGCAGCAGCGACTCGGACTAGATGAAGACAAGTTACCACCTGGTAACATTAAAATCATGTGTATTCTTCATCTAAACGATGTAAAATTGAGAGTTTTCACTGATTGTATGGCCTTGAATGAATTATTAATCTAATAAATAAGGTGAAAACTGGTGTACTGGCTTTTCATAACTTTTGTTCATGTCACTGCATGTACATTAAGTGACTGTGTTGTGCCATCTTTCAAAATGATTGTGCTGCCTGCCACAGTGTCATTGTCAAGACGACCACCAGATGGCGCCCAATGAAGACATTTTCAAATGTTTTACATAGTGGCTTTAACAGTGGCTGTTAGAAACATAAATCTTATGAGTGTAGGGTATCCATGATTGTAGAAACGTGTTATTAAATAATTGATTATTAAACAGTTGATTAAAGTACACAATGTCAACCTTTGATAGTATGAGTTTGCCCAGTATCCTTGTCATTGGTTGTCTGGTACCACGTGGTCGACAAAAACATAAAAATTATGTTATAAATAGTTAGTTAATAGTAACAAAATCTCGAGTGCATGTTTACACAGCACACAAAAAAATGTTGGTGGGAGTTGAGGCTCTGCCCCTCATGACTTCCTATAAATGCAGAGCCAGTTCACTGCTGAGTCTGTGGATCTGCACTCCGGCACTCAGTAAGTTCACTACAACATATCTGGGTATAATTACCAAAAAAAGTGTGTGTGTGTGTGTGTGTGTGTGTGTGTGTGTGTGTGAGAGAGAGAGAGAGAGAGAGAGAGAGAGAGAGAGAGAGTGTGTGCCATCATGTCTTTATCAGTAAGACAAACCCCACTGATGTCTTTATTGTTTTGTATTTCTTTTATGTTAAGGGGGATTTGTGTGTAATTAAGTTAACTTTGATTTCAAGGTTTGGATCTGATCTGAAGTTCTGAAATGCATGGGAATAACAGAGGTAAAGTCTATTTAACTTTTATCAAAACTCCTTTCCCTTCCTTTGTGTCAAACTTTCTTTATTAAATTTTAGGAAGCCAAAATGTGTGTAAAGTGTATACAAACCTTTTGACTAGGAAACCAGTATCCCTCTGGCTGTTACCCTCAGCCAATGCCAGGAGGATGTCCACCAGGCCCTGTCGCACCCCAACCCTGCCCTCCTCAGCCCTGTGGTCCACCTGTGTACAATCCTGTAGCACCACCTTGTGCAGGGCATGAAGGCCATCAGGGACCAGTGCCTGGTTTTGGGCATGGACACGGTCCTGGGCATGGACACGGTCCTGGGCATGGACACGGTCCTGGGCATGGACACGGTCATGGCCCTGGGCATGGACACGGCCCTGGGCATGGACACGGTCCTGGGCATGGACACGGTCATGGTCCTGGGCATGGACACGGTCCTGGGCATGGACACAGTCATGGCCATGGACATGGGCATCATGAACATGGACATGGACATGGGCATCATGGTCACGGCCACAAGCACAAGCATGGCCACATTCATGGCCATTGCCACAAGAAAGGAGGGACATGTCACGGGGTAAGATACAGTTGATTTTTTTGATGAATGTAAAGTGTAAATCATCAATGTAACAAAGTAAATACTGTACCACAGTCCACTGACAATAAGTAACAACCAATTTCACTTATGCAATGATTCAAAAATGTTTAAATACAATTAGAAACCGTTTATTAACATATCACATTCAGTCTTCATGCAATAAATCTGACAATAAATCATAACCCTCACAGGTTCAGTTTCTGTTCTATTAAAAAAAGTTCACGTCCAACACCCCAAACGTTAACAATGGTATTCAATGGTATTAACTCAACAAACCAATTATACACTACCTGCTTAGTACCAAACAGCAGACAGACAAAGTTAGCAGCTCCTGTAGCTGGTGAACACTGTGAACATCATTCAAATTAAATTAATTATTGACACTTTATTTATTCATTTAGAGTTGATTATTTCATTACATTATGAACTCCTAACCTAATTAATTAACTGACTTACACGTCATAACTGAATGAAATAACAATGTTTGTCTCTGCTGTAGTCCTCCAGCAGCTCCTGCAGCAGCAACTCAGACTAGATGAAGATGAGAGAAACAAGAGAAGCTGCCACCTGCAAACCTTCATCCTGCTTCCTTCTATGATAATGAGTCTATTTGATCCCCTACATTTTAAACCCTTTCTTTTAAAGCTTGTGTTTTGTTTGCTTGTGTTTTTTGAATCAAATATTGGGTTAATACATTCAAATTAAAAGTCAGGTTTAACTGTCACTATATTACCTTGTATGAAGTATTAGGTCGCTGCATTTTAAAGTGGAAAGAATTAAACATTTGTACCAGCTCTATGTGTGACATAGTATATGCTTTTCATTCACACTGATCATAATTTCCTTGTGATTAACAATATAAAACTGCCTTCTGTTTATCATAACAGCACATAATCTCGACAATTCCTGGCGTCTGTATTCTCTTTTTAATTTGGCCTCATTGTACCTTATTACATGGAGTGTGTGTGACCTATCAGTGTGTATTTATATTATCTTTATTTACCCAGGGAGCGTTGACTTAAGACCTTTGTTCAGCTCTACCACCAAGCTGCTCTGCTCCTGAAATGTATCTACCTAGCTCGCTTCCTGGCATCTAACCCGACAAACAATGCTTGAAAACAGAAATAAGACCAACTGAATGATTAAAGATTTGGAAAAACAAGTGTAATCATTATTGCATTAATAAAAAAATATATAAGGAAATACATTCAGAAGTAGTAGCCTGTTGTGAATACGTTTTTAAAGACATCTTGCAAAATGGGGGGCCATAAAATGATACTATTTGCTTAGGGGCCCTGGCTTGGAAACGTTTGGGAACCCCTGAGCTAAGCAGATTATTTTGGATACACAACACAACAACAATAAGTTCACAGCCAAGGGTTGACAATGACTTTTTTGGGAGTGAAAAGAGATGTTTTCTCGCTGCTGTTTCCTGTTATTTGGATGAATTTCAGTCAATGGAAGTGATTTCTCTTTGTGTTTTCAGTCAGGTTATTAGGAAAGTGCTGAGAAAGCATTATTTTGGTGGGTTTTTTCCCTTTAAACTTTCTCCTGGGTAGCATACCAAATGGTTTTGCTTTCACTATGCACGACTGTCTCGACACTTGCAAGTAATGGTGCACCCTTGCTATAAGCCCCATGCCCCTCTTGGCTATTTGTTCTACTCCCGACACTGTCTCTATTACTGCAGAGTCTGGTCTCAGACTCAAGTCTAGAAGTTCTACTGTGTCGGACTTGTCTTGGACTCATTGGTATTTGTCTTGACAAATATTCTAGTTGGTTTCAACCGAGTCCAACGTTTCTGAAGTAAAAAGCATTCTTGTTGTTCTGTCTCTCTAATGTGGACTCGACTCGTCCTTGGACTTTTCTTGGACCCGACAAAGGTGGTCTTAATTACAGCACTCTTTTTGGCATTTAGATTTAATGTCATAATGTCTGAATGGCCGCACTGTGAGCACACCTTCAGCAATTGTTGCTATATGGACTAAAAATTATAGGTAATAGGTTATCAGCATACATAAAATGGTTGATAGCAAAGTTTCCAAACAAGGTATTCTGTGTTACACCCATTCACTTCTTTCCATAGATCATCCATATACTCATTGAACAAAATAGGAGGCAGAGCTCCACCTTGGCAAACACCATTATTTACATTAACGGGGCAGATTCAGCAGTAAGGCGGGGTAGTCTGGTGCAACTACCCTGCAGTGTAAACTGTGCCAGTGAAATATAACAAATTATAAATAAATAACAAAGTGAACAAAAAGAAGTGTAAAAAGATAAAAGAAAGATAAGTTGTGAACCAGATTTTTAAACAGAAAAGTGCACAATATCAAAAGACGAGTGTGTGTATCGGTATCTTAGACTGGTCCATATTGACTGAATGTTAAAGATTATACACACACACCCATTTAGGTCACAAAGCAAAACATTTTCTGATGGGAGTTCAGGCTCTGCCCACAATGATGTGAAGTGGATTGTGCATAAAAAGCAGCAGCAGGTGGCAGCTGCATCTGTTGATCTGCTCTCCAGCACACAGTAAGTTCACCGCTCTCTGACGTTCTGATACACATGATTTGAAATATTAAAAGATAAACTGTGATGATGTGCTTTTCTTTCCCCACTTTCAGGATCTGTAGTTTTCATTTGAAGATTTAAAATGTTCGGACACAACCAAGGTGGATAACACAACCTCTTTCAGATATAGCTAATGTGCATTGCATACTAGATAATCACTTTTACAAGGTATTAACTTGATTTCTCTTTTCTCCTCATGTTTAGGAAACCAGTACCCTCCTGGTTACCCGAACCATCCTCAGCAGATGCCAGGGGGATACCCTCAGGGTCCTCCAGGCGCCATCCCACCAAACTACCCTCCTCAGCCCCACGGTCCACACGGAGGACCCCAAGGACACGGACCTGGACCTGGTTATGGCCCAGGACCTGGTTATGGCCCAGGACCTGGTTATGGCCCAGGATGTGGACAGGGCCATGGGCAATGTCATGGACAGGGCCACGGACAGGGTCACGGGCAGGGTCATGGACAGGGTCATGGACAGGGCCACGGGCAGGGTCATGGACAGGGCCACGGGCAATGCCATGGGAAGGGCCACGGACATGGGCACAAGCACAAGAAAAAGCATGGTCACAAACACAGCAATTGTCACAAGAAAGGGAAGGACTGTCACGGGGTAAGATTCAGAAAGTTTCTCTAATATGATGCATTTTATGTTTGTTCCAGAAATGATATTTTATTCATATGACAATACCCAATGAAATATAGAACATAAAACAGCAATACAACCTACGTTAATACAGCTATAATTTAAACTTTACTTTGATTGAAGTGATTCATTAATGTCTGATCTGTTGTGTTCAATTTGCTGCAGTCCTCCAGCAGCTCCTGCAGCAGCGACTCTGACTAGATGAATAGAAGATTCCTGGATGGGAAGAGTTGGCATCTGGAAACCTTCATCCTCCTAACATATATTAAAATCAATATTTTACCGCCTGAATGTTTCTTCCCATTTAATCTTAAAAATGTATTTGCATCATTGATACAAAATCAGGCTGAAACATTCTGCATGAAAATCAACATTTGGCATGCTATGTCCATATATCAAGATGTAGTATAAGCTTTTATTAACATTTCATAATTCTTTGGTGTACAGTGACAGACATTGTTGTATCCATGATTGTGTTTGTTACAGAAAAAAAGTGCAGTTCTGTTCATGATAAATGCTACTGAACAACACAATCTCTGGCTTTTTTTTTTTGGTTTTATTTTGTGTCCATGGTTCTTAATTCACTCATTTGCTACTTTGGCTAATATAACAAAGGTGTGCTCTTTATTTGCCCAGGGAAGGTTGACTGAGCACTCAGCCACACCTTGGTCACTGCAGTACATCACACCCTGGAACTGCCGGTGCTGTCACCCTAATCTTATTTTGATAGCCTGTGTAATCAAACACTTGTTAATGTTGATATCCAACCTTTTACAAGTTCACTAATCTCTGAGGGCCACTACTTCTTGTCCTTGTGTTAAATGTACAGCAGTCAGTGGTGGCAGATGATCCAGATAATTTACAAACTAAAATAGTAATACTTCATTGAAAGTATTAAAAGCTCTGCATTCATACTTATATAAAAGTAGTAAGATAAGATATAATAAGCCTTAAATGATCCCCAGCGAGGCAATTCAGTTGTTGTACTAGCACAAGGACAGAAATAATTATAGGAAAAGTAAATAATAAATAAAAATAAAATAATAATAAAAGTATAAAAGTGACAATAGAAACTACACAAGAGTAATTAAAGTCAAAATTACAAAGCAAGAGTGACACTGATGTGATTAAAAGCAGCAAAGTCTATGTAAACACCAACTGGACTAATGTATAATATGATTACGTAAACATACTTAGAGTTTGTCTCTATTATAAAAATATAATACTGTATAAGATATTAACATAATAGGCTATAGTATAAAACAGTACAATATATTCAGATATCAGATATAAGATATATTATATATGGTGAAATACATCAATATAACTGAGAATATCAAATATAATACAGAGGGGTAATATATAATATATAATAAATAATAAATATAGCATAATATATAATAAAAAATATACAAATTAGAGGATCCAATGGTGAAATAAACCATTATTAAGAGCTGAGGAGCGGCAGTACCGCCTCTCCACACCAGGTGGCAGTGTGGCGCAGACTCTGTGGTGCGTACGCCCACCGTGACGTCCCCTCGTCGACCAATGAGAGGAAGGCTCGGCGCTTCTTCTTTCCCCGGAAGTAAACGCAGAAACTTCAGAGGCAAGAGCAAAAGGGAAGCCAGCTGTTTCACACAAAGTCAAACAGTCTCATTATGTCTCTCACCGTTCTGACATCTGCGTACAGGTACGATGCGACAGCTGAATTACGGTTCATTCACTCTGAGTGTGGGAGGTGTTATTAGAGGCTACATGAGTCCAGTATTGTGCAGCTGTTCACGTTTGCCACTGCTCTTTTTTTCTGTTCACTCAGACTGAGATCCCTCTGCAGACTGCAGCGAATCCAGGCCCACATGGTGAGCAAGCCCCTCCTCCTCCTCCTCCTCCTCCTCATGCATGCATCGTGTTGTGCATTGTAGAGGGTCAGTGTGCAACAACAGCTGGGTACCTTTTTTTGTGTGTGTGTGTGTGTGTTTACAACATGTCAATCTTGGTGCAAATGCCAGTTGCATTGAATTAAAACTTCAGCCAGCTGTTTGTGCCCGTCTGCAGCTCATCAGCTCTGATTGCTGGAGTTTTATTCAGCAGTTCGTCTGGTTGGTTGGTTGGTTGGATATCAATGCATCACATGTTTTACTCTGATGGGACAGTTTCACTACAGTGCAGGTCAGTCAGGTGACACTGTATAATAGTGGTCGACCGGTATATGACGTGTAATGCCGATATCAAATCAAATATTCTGTTTTATAGGAAATTCAGGCATTATGGTTACAGCTATGGGATGCATTAGAGTTATAGTGCAGGGCTCGAGAGCACCAACATCAGTCACACAGTTTGTATTTATCTGCCTCGTGAGCACAGACTCCAGCCGATTATCTCTAAATGTCAAATAATAACTACTATATAATACACTTGATGTGCTGAGTCAATAAGAGATTTACAGGCTTTCAAATGTGAACTGATATCTGGACATTGATTGACTGTGTGTTATATGTACCCTGGACTCCCTACTCCTGAGGAAATACAGCAAAAAGGATTAAACTTGTCATCATAGGAGAATTCTTTGTCAGATTTTGCCTTTATTGCTTTATTATAGTAAACACAGTAGACATTATAGAGCCAGAGAGGAAACAGGGGAGTGAGAGAGGAGGGGAAGTTACTATGTTCTAGTTTGTCTTGTCTTTTTAGTTTGTGCTGATTTATTCCCTTACATGTGAGTTTTAGAGTTTAACGTAAAGACTTTTACCTGTTATCAGATGTCGACTCAGGTGGAAGCAGAAGTTCTTCTGGAGAAAGTGGGCAGAGCAGGTGTGATCACCATAAACAGACCCAAAGTCCTGAACGCCCTCAACCTGCCGATGATCCGACAGATCTACCCTCAGCTCAAGGTATGTGGAACGCTTGCTTAATGCGAACTTCAACTGGGGCAAATGTCAAGGCCTCGAAGTGTTGCTGCAGTGTGTTACTGGTCGTAAATGGCTGCAAGTATCTCACTTAGTTTGACAGTTTGTGCATAAACCTATTCAAGACTTGTGAACAGTTAGGCCACACCGCCACACTTATGTAGACTTTAACTTCCTGAAGAACTAGGTTTGTCTTCTTCACACCCATAAAAATATTCCCTCCCATCACAAAAGACAAAGTCTTCTTTTGTGGGAATGTGAAGGACATAATTGTTGTATCATTTGTGGTTTTGAATTTCCCAACATCCATTGTGTCATCCAGTGTATGACAAGTTCGGCTGGTGTTGTGTTTGAGGTCTCAGTTTTAAGTTTCTCTGTTTGGAATATTTGTGGTTTTTGTTCTGAAGGTCTAAACTTTTACAGAAACAGTGCAGAAAACACAAGATTAGTTTTTGATATCAAGGTTATTTAATTGTGTAATTTTACAAAGTAGGATTGTATGTCGTTCTCTTTATGCTACTTGTAAAAACAAAAATGATACAATAAAATGTATAAGGTCATAGTAAAACTTTATAAATTTCCTATAAATTTGCTTCTGTTTTTTTGTTTTTATTCTAGAAATGGGAAAATGACAAAGAGACTGAGATTGTGATCATCAAAGGAGCAGGTGGGAAAGCCTTTTGTGCTGGTGGAGACATCAGAGGTAAGCTGTAGCCTTGGATGTTCAGACCGCAGTGCCTGTGTTTGTGTCTGGATGTGCCTCACACGGAAACAGTTAGCTGATTTGTTGTTGACTGTTTTAGAGGTAAACCACACAAAAGTATTTGTTATTGGTTGAGGAGATGCACATTTACCACCAGAAGTGAAGGTTTTATTTGTCCCTTAGCTTTCATAGAGTGGAAGTGAACGGGAGGTGAATATTTGCCAGTGTTTTTACGTATATGTATATCATACATTCAGGTCACAGAGGGGAACCAGTACTTTCTAATTAACTGACAATGTTTAAAAAAAAAAAACCTAGAAGATCATTTAAAAACACTTTCTTGAATTCCTAAATAGTCTTCTAACCATCTGGATGAATAAATATTCTATCTGCTAAATGATAAAAACAGTTTTGTGTGACTGAAGCTTAAACGTGTTGCTTCATTACTGTTTTGACCTGTTTTTTCCCCTCTCAGCGGTCACAGAAGCAGGGAAAGCTGGAGACCCTCTTGCAGAGGACTTTTTCCGCGAGGAGTACATTCTCAACAACGCTATTGGTAAGCGTTGCAATTACATTTTATATTTGTTATGCATGGGCAGACATTCACTTAAAGTCTTGCTTTTTAAAAACCCAGGCCTCCATTTTATCTGTTTGCATGTTTAAACTCAGTTTTTCTTTGTTTTTACACATTTTATTTCATCTTTTAAGGAGCATGCAAGAAACCATATATCGCCCTTATTGATGGAATAACAATGGGAGGGGTGAGTACATTTACATTTAATCTATTTAAGTTTATATTATGAGGTTGGGTTAATGTCACACTGTTTTTTGGGGGATATTTGCATATTATGAGGGCTTGAAAGGACTTATAGATACATTTTTTTGGCAGTTTTGGTTCTTTTTTCAGTGAAAATTGTTATTCTCTCTATGAGGTGTGATATTCATATTTACCTGTAGGTGTCAGTAGTGAACTATCTGCCACTGTTACCTGCCGCCAGTGGCAAGGTGGCCTCTGATTGGATGAAATCTGAAGTGACAAAGCATTCACTTCCACTGGTTGTTCCCTCCAGGTGTCAGATATGGTTTGAATTTGAATTGGTACCTTTTCCCCAGCAATAAGCACAATGAGACATCATTCAGACAGAGCTGCACAAATGCTCATTAATCAGGAATGACAGATACAGACGCAGATGTCTGTAATTTATCGATATTGTTTAACTCACCGGGTCAGAGGAGATGTCTGGCTTTTGGATGAGTTTGTTCTCTTTTACATTTCATGACCTTGACAGTGATTTTACTCGCCCGCAGCCGCCAGTATCTACTGGGTCATTACTCATCGTGTGTGTGTGTGTGTGTGTGTGTGTGTGTGTGTGTGTCCCTGTGGTGACAGGAGGTGGTGAGACGTATGAAGCCCTAACAAGCCCATAGATAGAGATAATACTGCCCATAAGGGTGCACTATACACTTCTGAAATGTCTTTAGTAGTCGTATTAGCAGAAAAATCTTGGCTCTGTCTTAATGGGTTTCTTTGGGGTGTGTTATTTGTTAAGTTGGGAATTGCATTGTGGATGGGGAGCTTTCTGACATACAACAAACACATTTAATTAAGTTTATTTGTATGTTTTATACTCAACTGTAGGTATTCCTATGTGGTGTTATTAAGTTTTTGATAGTCATCACACTGTAACCCAGATCAAAGCTTTTTAAAATTAGTGTTCAGACTGTTTTGACAAATTCTTCTGTCTCCGTCAGTGTGCACTATAAAAAGAGTATGAACATGTATTCAGTGCCTCCAGGATTTCGCAGGCTTAAAAAGCCGGATTTCACAGCAGCTTTACAAAAAAAAATTGCAATGCAATGTTGTAATGTTTCAGGCATTTTTTTGCAATGAAATTGCCGGAGAAAGTGAAAATTGCAAAAATGGTCGAGATCATTGTTGACTACAACTTTTATGGCAGTAGAGGTACTGTTGTTTGGAAGTGTTCACCATTTCTTGGACTTTTAAAAAACAGAAAAAGGAAATAAAACCCAATAAATGCAGCCTTTTTTTTTGCTAATGTAGTAAATTCCCACTACACAAATTCACAGGGGGTTGAATTTCTAGAAGCTGTGAACCCAAAAAAATTCTCTTGTTTGCTTGTTTTTCCAGTGTTTAGACAGCCGTGATGATAATGACACCCCACTTGCCAGTTTCCTTTCTAAGAGAGACAGACGCTATAATTTATTTGTCAAGAAAATAATGAAAAGAAACAGCGTAGGCTATCGAGCAGTAAGGGCTTGGTTCTGATGTATGTTACACCATGTTGTGTGGTTGTTCCGTTCATCATCCCAGTGAAAAACCTTAAAGGTTATATATACAAAATTCTCTTGCGACTACATGTTGCACTAGAGCAACAACATCTCAGACCACGCTACAGCCAACCAGACTCCACTGACAAAACTAGACTTTTTACATAGCAGATAATGGTAAAAAAACAACAACTTTAAACTGGACAGAAACAGTTAGTTAGTCTTTCCACAGTTTCCAACAATCACCAATGCTGATTTGGTCAAATTAAACCTTTAATTCACAGAGTTTGATGATGAAATAGACGTTATGTAGCTAATCCTTGGGGACAAATGCTCTCATCTAAGTACGTCCATTAAAAGTGCTTGTTTTTACTCAAATTGTTATTCTGACAACTTTATGAAAAGGATCCCTACAGATATTGACCTTTTGTTTAACCAGAATTAGCCGTGATATCTCTATCACTCGCCACCAGACTCCATTGACAAAAGAGGTAGTTTTACGTAGCATATCATTGTATAATCTGTTAGTCTTTTCACTTTTCCCACAGTCACCAACTCTTGTTTAGTCGAACTAAATCCTAAATCCACCGATGTAGAAGTTTCACTTGCTCTCCTCAGTTGGAAGGAGGCACACAGAGGGACTCACATGCACTAACATTCACGTTCCACCCAACTGACTTTGTAAACAAACCACAGATGGGCTGCGATAGCAACACAGGCAAAGGGCAGAGTGTAACGTCATTCTCTGCTCAGGATGTCATTACTCCACTAAATCTTATATATATATATATATATATATATATCTTTAATAGCTGTGATGTTGGTGGAATAACACTTACAATCTTTTCTATGGATTTATGGTTCTAGGAATAAAGTAATTTAAAGTACACCTCATCTATCTGTCATGTTAGCACAGAGAGGACACTAATGTTGACGCAAACCATCCTCAGGGTGATTGCTGTTTAATGTGCGTAGTGGTTCAAAACAGGCTAGTTCTATATATGGAAAAGTCCAAGAGCTACCAGAGTCCCTGTTCTCGGATCTGAGCTCAGGGCAGAACTCCCACGTCGGAACGAGTATCCTTGCATTAGTGATAACAAACCACCAGGGAGTAAAGGCATGTCATTAGCAGGTCAGAGAACACACACACACACACACACACACACACACACACACACACACACACACACACAGAGACACACTGTCTATCTGTTAGCCTCTCTCTTACATTAGTTGGATCTCGTCTCACGCACATTATTCATTGCACTCCAAGCTTGAAACCCCTAGAATTAAGGTCTGTGAATGCTGAAGTGTTATTAATCTGTGTCTGCTGTGCTTTGCCTGTAAGCAGATGTCTCTCTTTCGTTTGAGCCTTTTAGTTTGAGTTTGCTTTAAACATTTCAAACATTTACATTGTCACACTATTGTGCTGCTTCCATTCAGAACGTGCTGTTTCTAAGTCAGTTTGTAACAGGGGTGGAGCAGCAGTTGCTGCTCAATTGATGGATATTTGTCCAGGGCTGTCTGACTGTAATCTCTATCCCCTGGAGAACACAGCGTTTGTTTGCTAATGTCTCATCTAATGAGAAGACAGTGAGAGCCAAAAAGACCTCAGGGCAGATTTTGATCCCTGCATTAAGGTTCTCATCTTTCAGAGCCTGTGCAGTGCTTGTTTTGAATGTGAATACTTTGTGCAAGAGTGATGTGGAAAGTAACGCCACTGTTGTGCATTTTCAACCAGGACATCACTTTCTCTTCAAGTGTTTGTAACTATTATCCATCACTTGTGTCTCTTCAGGCTGGGCGCCTGCATGATCCGCACATGTGGCACTAATAATTTCTCATTTTGGAAAAGTTGACTCCTCTGAAAACTATAATAACATTAGGGAGAGATTTCACTCTCTGCACAAAGTATCTACTCTACATCATTTTAATAGATTTCATCCCACCTTTTCTATCAATATTTGGTTTATATCCAGTAAACAAAATATCATAATGGGGACTTCATGAAGCCCTTCATATTCTTAGCCAGTGTAAACTCTTCCAGCCAGGTTGTAAATTTTGCAGCCTATTCTGTTTGTAAGCATGAGCTATAAACATTGTGTGCACGCTTTTGCACATTTCCACTGTTTACAGCAGGATCTGGAGACATGTTCTTATATGGTGCTTGGTGGTACCACACCAGTATGTAACAATGTTCCACTACTTTTATGGTGAAACTCGGGTAATGGGAGATTAAACGGCCACCTCGTTCCTCTGGGTGCATCCGATGATCATTGCATGACCTGTTTCTGTTTATTCTGCTTTAATTTCTTTATTTTATTTTCCTCTCTCGTAGTTAATGTTCTTCTTTTCCACTGTTGTTTTCAGGTTGGCAGAGGTTTATTTTGTCTTGTGTTTTCAGTTTAGTTTACGTGATTCATTCAGTATCTAATAATAGATGAAGAGGAAGTCTGGATGATTTGCTTAAACTTTACACATGTGGAACTTTAAGTTTTAATTAACTACATTATAGAACAACAGTAAAATATGTAAATGAACAAATTGTAAAACCATTCAGTACTTTATTAAAACTTAACTCATTATTATAAAATGCATAATAACATATATATTGTAACAGGTTCTTAATGGAATTCTTTTTTTATTTAATTACAGATCATTGGGAGACCTCTTAAAATCATTAAGTGCAGAGGTCATTTTTTAATTTTGAGGTATAACTAATACTATTAATGATGCCATGCCAATGTGACAGTGCGCCATCATTAATAATACCTGGACCCTGTGACTGAAGCAGCATAATGGAATTCAGCCATCATTAACTTTATCATTAGTGTCTCTAACTCTGCAATCTATCATCGAACATTATCAACCTTTCTAAAATATGAAATGTGTTGGGTCCATGTTTTTAGATAAATAAGCATTTAGAATTCAAAATCTTCAAAACTAATTCATGTTGTGTAATAGTGCAGCAGAATGTACTTGTACCATTATATTTTGGTTTCTTTCATAACTAAAAAAGCCTCTATGCTGTTCAGCCTTCTGTCCTGCTGTTATTAAAGACATGGACTCACTTCTTTAGTTGATCTGGTGACTCACAATGGACAAAAGCTTATGGGAAATGGGATTTTTAAGATGCCAAAAATCCTTTTTACCATCACAGTTTAAATACATTTTAAACAAATTGTATGACATACAGTTGAGTCAGCATATGCTGAAAGGCTAAAGCCACAATAGAGTAATCTATTCAGTGTGTTTATATATGTAATAGAGGATGAGAAAGTGATTTAGCAGGATTTGAAATGAATACATTTTGATTTCCTGTTTCCATTCTACAAAGCTAACTTGATTTGTGAGAGAATAACCCAGTCCCTCTCTTTGCTCTGAGCATACGTTCTGACGTGTTGCCAAAGCACAGTCATTGTGTACTTCATGTCCTGGTCTGACAGAAGTCACAGTCTGTCTCTTTTATGTGCGTTTTTTTGTTTTTTGTATTTGGGATCTGGTTCTTCCCAAAGACTCCTGCAGAGGTCTGTTTAGTCTCCAGTGATCAGATATTTTTAATCCTCTGTGGTCATTTGTCACACAACCTTAAGGCAAACCCTGCTGCACTGCTCTCTGGCTCTGCTGTTGTTGTTTTTTGCTGTTCACCAAGAGCAAGGTCACCACACAGTCACTACTTGTTGGTTGGCACAGATTCAGCGCTCAGACCCCTTCACTCTTTTCACATTTTGTTATGTTGCAGCTAAAATCGTTTAAATTGATTTTCCCCTCATCAGTCTACACTCAATACCACCATAATGACAATGCGAAAACAGGATTGTAGACCACCTGTGGTAAGTTCAGTTGATTGGACATGGAACACACCTGTCTATATAAGGTCTCATAGCTGAAACTGCACATCGGAGCAAAACCGAAGCCATGAAGTCGAAGGAACTGCCTGCAGAGCTCAGAGACGAGCACAGATCTGGGGGAGGATATAAAACAAATTGTGGAGGTTCCCAAGAGCACAGTGAACTCCATAATTCTTCAATGGGAGACGTTAGGAACAACTAGAACTTTTCCTAGAGCTGAATGTCCAAACCGAGCAGTCAGGGGAGAGGGGCTTCCATAAGAGAGGTGACAAATACTCTTACAGTCACTCTGGCTGAGCTTCAGAAACCCAGTGTGGAGACGGGAGAAACTTCCAGAAGAACAACTGTCACTTGCAAGTAACCCGACAGAAGCCTCTCTCTAATGAAAGACACATAAAAGTCTCAGTTTGGCCTCATTTCTAAGCATCATATCTGGAGGAAAGCAAGCCCGGCTCATCACCTGCACAGTACCAACCCAGCTTGGTGGTGGCAGCATCGTGCTGTGGGGTTGAGTAGTGACAAATTAAAGGAAAAACCTGAATGAATGAGAGGAGAAACATGATAAATGCCTTACGAGGGGTCACTGGAAACAGTTTTCAGCTAGTGTAAAGTTAGTCTCAGGTTAGAGACATTGGCTCATGGCAGAAAGGTTCTTCTTTAGATGGTGTGACATAAATTCACTTGGCTTTAAAGCACCAGCGATAGCTTCTCAGTTATCTTGTTCTTACTTTAGCTATAACAGCAACATTGTTATACGACTATTTTGTTTAGTTTTTTTTTACTTTTCTTCTATCTAACAGGAGCTAGTTGACTTCCTACTGAATGAACTGACTGAATTCCTACCAGTCTTTGTTGTTATTCCTTATTTCATAGGTAACAGCTAAAGTAATAGTAGTTTTTAGGGGGGGTTGTTTGTTTTGTGGTGAGGAGTTTTTACTTATCTTCTAGCAGAGCTTTGGTGGTCATCCCTCAATGTAGCCAAAAGTCATCTAATTTTCAAACTACTCCTTTTTAAAGCACTTTCCTCATAGACCACCATTATAAAAGAGACAACCTTAAAGCTGTTGACATGACACCGAATGTTAAACCATAAAGATTCAATATTTGTAAAAGTTTCCCAGAGCCTAGAAAGGCAAAAAAAGAAATGTGCGTAACAACATCTCGTGAGAACAAAGAAATCTTTCTTAGCAGATATTCTGCTGCACAAGCAGATTTACGTGACTTGACAATTCCCCCTTGACACGAACCTGATCATCAACCTCGTCCTCATGTGGACGTGAACCAGGGGATTTACCTGTCGACCTTCCACGGTCATTAATCACCTCCGCTGATACGTCGCTGACATATTGGATTTTTCTCTGACCTCACCAGTGAATGACCCTGTTCCTCGGTTCAGTTCAATCACAACAGAGTCCCCTGTGTGTGAATGATCGCTTAATTAATAACACGTCTTCCAGAGTACTGAAGGTCAGTGAGGTAATGTGATTACTTTCTACTGTTCGATTACATCCCCTCCAGAAACAGGACAGAATTTATTATCATTTTTTAATCTTGAGCTGAGTGTGTGTCTCTTGCTTTATGACTGTTTTTATTGTGTTTTTATTTTGGTGACATCCACATTGTTAATTAATTGTAATTGATTTTATTGAATCATCCTGCATTTTCTCATCAACAGAAGATGAAAATAAGAGCTCAATCTTCTCGTCTCTTGCTGTTTGGATAAAAGCCAGTTGGATAAATATAAATTAAATAAATTATTAAGAAGTAAATATTGCTTATCATTCTTATTTGTGGCAAACTCTTGTGAGATTAGCTTGTGCACAGGCTTTACCAGGCAAACAGTCTTCGACAGCTGAGTATCTGTGTGGCTGTATTTCCTTCAAGTTCATTTATGTTCACTCTGATCTGAACTGACTTAAACTGTCTACAACTGTCAGAAAAAGTCGTTACTGGGGTCATTTTTGAGGTGACATGGAGAATATATATATATATATATATATATATATATATATATATATATATATTTCTGTCACCCCTTAAAGTCTCCATGCCACTATATATATATATATATATATATATATATATATATATATATATATATTCGAATTATATCACAATCACATATCAATATTTGCTTGTAAAGCCCCCAAATGAAGATATTTTAACTCAGACACATTAGATTATTGTGTTGTAATATCTAAACATACATGTTGTTTTTTCATTGAACTTAAAGCCTATAACTTATATAAAATATGGCAATAACAGACCGTTAAATTATATGTGTTAATTTTCCTTATTAACATGTTATTTTCTAAATGAATCTAAATGAATGTGTTAAATGTGACAGCATCTGACACTAAACTCAGGTGTTAGCAGCCACCCCATGCCAACCCCTCTAGATCCACCCCAGTAAAGGTCTAGTGTGTAACATTAAGGGGGGGGGGTCTATTGGCAGAAATGGAATATAATGTTCATAACTATGATTGCATTAAAGTATCATTAGTCTAAAATGTGGCGATAACAGATTATTATCTTCTACCTTCCCTATAATTTCCTTTTTATAACAAGTTATATAATAAATCTAAATTTTTAACATTTGACATGAAACCACCACCAACTGAATACTACTCACCTTCCAAGCATGTAGGAGAAACTACGGTGGCTGTAAAGGATCCAGGTGATTTTACACTAATGAAAACATACCTATGGTTGTTTACCTGGCGGGCAGTACAGTGCACCTGTCTGTGTATCCACATCATTTTATGCATATAAGTCGAGGATGTTGTTTCCATGGTAACCTTATGATCTAAAACACACACACACACACACACACACACAGAACCTAACTGTTCTTGAAATGTCCTCTGGCTAACGTTGCTCATTAGCCTTCACCTTTCTTTCTCTCTCTCCTTTTCTCGTCCCTCTGCTGGGAACCACGAGTGTACACACACACACACACACACACACACACACACACACACACACACACACACACACACACACACACACACACACACACACACGTATGCGGCCTGGTTTACTTTTTTGTTTTCAGTCAGCGTTTTCCATCTCAAACTTCAGCCCACTGCCTCTCCGTAGAGGTGACAGTTATTAATGTTTTCTCCATGCCCTGTTTTCCCCTTCTGTGTATTTTCTTTGCCCAGCTTGGGTTTTTCTTCCTCCTCTCTTCATCATAGCATTGATTTTTCCCTTTTTTTCCCTCCACCTGCAGGGCGTAGGGCTGTCGGTTCACGGGCGGTTTCGAGTGGCCTCTGAGAAGACGCTGTTTGCCATGCCAGAGACAGCCATTGGTAAGTCTGTCCAGCTGCTCTGGCTCCCATCTTCCTCAAGGGAGGGTTGGGGAGGGCACTAGTTGGCCCACATCAGTGTGCGCGGGTATCTTCGACCATTAATTATGTAAGAGCAGTGATTTCGGTTGCAGACCCAGCTGGATCCAATTCATATGCATTCATAGACACGAGGTCTGTCTGCATGGGAAGCTGGGAAAGGAAATAAACAGAGGGATAGACGAATGATTTGCATATGATAGGATAAATAACCTGGGGTGTGAGACATTAACTCTTAACACGACCAGTGTGGAAAACAAGAGTGTACAGCCATGCTTGTGACTCGATAAAGGTCAATATGAAGAAACCGTGAGGTCCAAACATGTTGAAATTAGAGCGAACTCCTTATAACATTATTTACAGAGACCCAACAGTACCACCATGAGCAAGCACTTGGTGACAAGGGCAAGGAAAACTGCCTTTTTAAGAGGCAGAAACCTAGGACAGACCCTTCGGCTCTAGGTGGGTGGTCGTCTGCCTCGACCAACAGTAGCCTACAATGGTCAAACACTGGCTCTATTAGACAGGGTCAAGGGCAAGTTTTGTGGCCACCGTAGTTTCTCCTACGCGTGGAAAGGGGAGGGTGAGGTGAGAGGGTTATAATCTGAAACTTCACCTGTAGATGCCACTAAATCCTACACACTGGACCTTTAAGTATATCTGAGGCTGATCGCAAAGTCATTAGATTTCTCTGTATTCAGTGTTTTTGGAAACATGAATATCTAAACCTCATTTCATGGCAATCAATCAAATAGCTGAAACCCGAAATTACAAACTCCCAGTGGCACGTAAGAAAAATTGAGCAAGTTATTTTCATCAAAGTCAAAGTAAGTAGCACTCTTTCTCTGGGGACCACTAACGTCTAGACAACATTTAATGGAAACCCAGTATTTGTAGAGATATTGCAGTCTAGACCAAATTGTAGGATCAACAATAACTAAATGAATTAAATTAAATTAAATTGAAGGTTTATTGCACCATTGTACATTTTTACACATTCTCACATGGATAATTATGATTATTATCATGATATTGATTTAAACTATTATGGCCCAGCTCCTCTGATCTTCTGTATATCCTGTGAAAAAGTGATAATGACAAAATAAATGTGCATAAAGCCACGACTACAGGACACACAAACATGTCATGATGAGAGATCGGCGGGCCTGTATATATTTGTAGCTTAGCTTCAGCTTTCCCACAGGAACACTTATGTTGTCCAACCCTTTTAGGGGGATGATAAATAAAACAAATCATCCAGAGGAGAGAGATGGGATCCAAAATATACTTTGTTTTATTGTCAAATTGTGGCTCAGGAAAAGACGAGAAAAAGTGTTTTTGTGTGGGTTTTAATTTTAAATGCAACAATAGGAGAAGAAACTATACGGTTCTTGAGACAAACTTAATTTGCATAATCCGATTCCACCAGAAACATGATACATAACATTTTTATACTTCATCAAGCACTTATCTTAGTGTTTTCCTCTTCCAGTTCCTCGAGTGTAAATGGCCTTTGCCAGAGTACTAAGCTATAGTTTGCTCTTTAGCTAATTGACTCTTGTAGACAGATGGCCTTCTCCTGAGGCGCTGAGGAGATTAGTAACAAATCTCTAACAACTAACAAATTACAGCTGACACTATGGCATAAACTAGCTTGTTGTCACTTAAATCCCAATGGTTTATCACAGTCGTATAATATCAACATATATTAATTATTCGCAGACAACTACGATACCAAAGCATTAATCACGCTGGTTCTGTGGCCAGAAAGAGACTGTGAACTGACCAGACTCTACCCAGTCAGTGCATTTACTTCATAAAGAAGGTAAATGGATATTGAGGTGGTTCTCCAGCAGCTTCGATTATAATTTTTATTAAATTTGGGCTGGAATCAAGTAACAAGCAGGAAATGTTTTGAGTACTTTGTGCAGAAGTTTCTTGTTTCTTTCTGCAGCTTTAATGCGTATCTGCTCATACTCTGATTAATTGACTGCGTGCACTCACTCCCTCATACTTGCAAACATCCAAGGACACTCACGTCATCCTCTATTTGATACACAAACACTCGCGCACACACACACACACATATCAAGCTTATTCTGGAGCATTCTGGGCTCGGACTCCACGATAAATCTTCAGCTGATGCTTTACCGTGCAGTGGAATATGACTCAGATGTCTGGAGCAGAAAAAGGATGAAGATTATGTTGTCAGCGGTGAGGAAATGAGTGTAGCAGAAAGAGAAGGCTGAGGTTCTCGTTGATGCGGTCGGACTGTTGTGAGGGATTTTCTCAAAGGCGAGGCCACAAGGAAGAGTAGGAGGAAATGGGACGGCAATTGAATTGCACAGGCAGGGGATTGGTTATATGATAGGATTGATGTACTGGACTATTGTTTGTGTCTATTAGGGTGTGCCTTGTACACCCAGTACTTGTTGGTGAAGTAGCTCATAAAGATGTTCAGTCTCATTACTAATGCTCATAAATAAAACAAGAATCATTAAAACATGTCACTTTGGCAAGACGACAGGAAGTCTAATCCTCTTCAGAACTGTTGTGATCACACTTTGTCATGTTTTTACTAAAAGCACTTGGCTGCCAGGCCTCTGCTCCACTATTATCAGCGCGTCCCCTCTGCAATCAGAGAGTTGGACTAAACACTGCACCATTTTCTCGAGGGCACAGCGTTTTCACAGAGATCCCAGCTGTTTGGAGACCCCCACATGCTTATTTTAGCCTTGATCCCGGGGTCAGATCCTCTCAAGAGCCTCTCTTATGTGCTGGGTTTACTGTAACTACTCTCACATTGTGGAATCTTTTTCACTAAAGTATGCCAATATTATACTTCAGCTTCAAGTGCTGGGAAAAAGTCTAAAATACAGCAAAAATGTATTTGGCTGATCAGGCCTCGTCCCAGGACTGTGTGGGAGTGGATAGATACATCACCCTAACTCTCCTGAGCTTGGCGGGACGAATTACATCTTATCATTCTTATTGTTAGATTAAGTCTGGTGACCTCATGTAATTAGCAGCATTCCTGAGCAGAAACTTACTCAGTGAAAGCACTTGTGTTGGTGTGCAGGGCCTTTTAAAGGTAGCATTTCATTTGCATGTTAAAGGTCCAGAGGATCTATTGGCAGAAATTAAAAAATGTTTTTTATGTACAGAGGGAGTGGGTCCTGTTCTAAGGCGACCGCCATATTGAACTGCCATGTTTCTACAGTAGCAGTTAACAGTGGCTATAGGGCCTGTTGTGTCTTTCAAGGGTTTTGTGGCAACCGTAGTTTCTCATTTGGGCTTGGTTGAGTCAAGATACCGCTAAATCTTCCATGCTGGACCTTTTTAAATTGAGTCAAAGAATTATTAAGTATATTATATTGCAACCTTCAGTGTTCATCTTTTGCCCTTTAGTTGATTGATTCCTCTGCAGAACCTTCCAGAGGTCTTTTATGTTGTTCTTTTATGAAGCCATTTTTTCTCCCTCAGGTAGTAATTCTGGCTGATAACAAGCTTTTCACAGCAGCCATTTTGACATGAAATAATAGGGTAAACACAGGTGTCACCAACGATACTAATTAAGATTCTGTTCCATTCAGGTCAAACCGAATCAGGGTGCTGCTATTGTACATGTTGGCTCCCTGGAAAAGCTCTGATACACTAAATGTTTACCCTACTGTTTTGTGTCAAAGTGGCTGCTGTGAGAAAGGTCTGTTAGATATCTTTTCAGATTAAAGTTGGGTGGAGCTTTGTCCCCAGAGCATCAAGGCAGGGGGAGATTTCAACTAAACAAGGCCTGTAGAAACCTGCACGCGTCTAATCAACCAAAATAGCAGCAGATTCAATATACAGACCGTAATTGGTGTGCTGTAACTGTGTTGTCCGTAGGTTTGTGTCCACTCGCTGACGTATGTCATAATTTAGGTTGGCTCCTCGGAGTAGATGTAATCGTTAATTAGTAACAGGGTGGATAAAACATGATGAACTCTGAAGCGTGCAGGTGTGCCCTAATTACTCTGAGTAGCAAAGTCATCACAACAACATCCTCCACATTTACATAATAGATGTTGCAGAAGTGTGAAAAGAGCTTCATATGAAATCTGTTCCTACTGTGTTTTGCCCTTAAACTAAACACATTATCAGGGGTGCAGGTGATTTAAGTAATTTGGTGTGTTTGGGAAGCTGGTTGCTGCTGCATTAGCTACTTCTACTGGTTGGTGCCAGGCTCAAGTACAGTTGGGTGCAGAACCTTTAGCGTAATGTGTATGTAGTCTTGCGATATCAGACGAACATAGATCTTGACAAATAAATGTACGCCCCTTAGTTCAAGGGCACGCCTTATCTGATACAATACTCAATTGTCCTCCGTAGTGAAACAAACTGGAGATACAGCGAATCACTCTGTAACACAGAGAGTGCTTTTTAAGACATGGATGTTCCGATAAAGTACGACAGTGTTCACAATCACACTACTTCCGCAGGTCACCACCCTAAAGATCTTGGGTTGGTTCTGCAGTGCAGGTTTTTTTTAAACTCGGAATTGTTTCCACCCAGTTTGAGCAACAAAAGCTGAGAGGAAGTCCTCAGTCTTTATTGAGCGAAGCCTTTAGAGACTGGCTTGTGAGTCTAGTGTGTATGTAACACCCTCCCGGTGAATAATCGATGGCAAGTGGAAAGAAGCAGCTGTAGACGCCATGTGTCACAGACCCTCGCCACGCCAAGGCTGGAGGTAGCAGTGAAAAAAAACACTGCAGTTCATAGGGAATGAGAAAATTAGGATAGATTTTATACATATCAGATATAATAAAATGCAAAAAATATTTTTTTTTCATGGAGAAAATTGTAAATCACAGGTGAAATTAATAACATTTCTGGTATTGCACACACTGTTGTACGAGGACACCTAAATATAACAAAGTTTATAACTATATCAGTCAAAATGTCTGCTGTGAAAATGGCCAGTAGTTTGAACTGTATCCCAACAGCCTATTGAAATCACAGAGAAAAACAGCTTCTGGATTAACCCTTAAAGGACCAGTGTGTAGGTGTTAGTGATATCTGTTAGTGATTGCAGACTGCAACTAACTGAACACCGCCCGCATCTGTATTTGACTACCTGGGAATGAGAACAGGATGTGATAGGAGAAACTTTGGTGGCCGTAAAAAAAAAAAAAACCCTATATATAGCTAGTGTTTGGTTTAACCATTCTGGGCAACTGTATTAACATGGCGGACTACAAGGAAGGCGACCTGCCTAGATAAAAACAGCTCAATCTAATTATATTCTAATGATAATATACCTGTGATTATTTTATTCCATTTCTGCCAATATATCCTCCTTAATGTTACGCAACAATAGATTGAAATGCTGTGATGTTAAAATGAAATGAGTCATTTTCAGTAACCCAACACCAATGCAAATGAGCGTGAAGTGGCCCCTAATGTACGACGTACAATTGTAAATACAGTCAATCAAGAGGATAAAAACTAGGATAAAGGGATGGTTTATTGTCTCGCTCCGGATGTCATAATGTGATCAGGGCTTCCCTTTCACCTGGATATGATTTATTAATGCCCCCCACACACACTACTACCCACAACACTCCAGTAATCGCTCTTCAAAGACGGGGCCAGAGACGAGTGGGATGTGCATATGTGTGTCAAAATTATCATGACTCACCAGCAATATTATTATTAGATATATAAAACATGTTCCAGCAATATTTAACACAAACATTTACTGTTTAGCCTTAAAGGATAAAGCTGTTTACTGTTTGTAGGATGAGCTGCGTGAAATATAGTCTCCTGGAAAATGTCCTGGATTTCTTAAACCCTGTTCATGGGGTTTATTTGTTTCTATATATAGAAAAATATAGAATTAGGATTCTAGTAAAGCAGGACACCAAGACTACAACTGTGTTTTTAAAGTTTAGTATAATTACTTCATAACTACACACATTTCTTTCAGACTCCTTCCTCTCACACACAGACACACTCCCCCCACCCACCTCACCCGCGTTAAGGTTAACCCCTTCTGTAGTGGGATTAACAGATTTAACCCAGCCCTGCTCGCGTTCTGAACAACAGCCATAATCTGCCGCATTTATGATATTACATTTTCAGCCGTGAATCAGGTCAACTCATCTAATCCGTCTCTCTCCCATTGACTGCCCGCCCACCGCCTCACCCATCGCCTCAAAAAAGCTGTCAGAAAACCAACTGTGACCAATGGAATCTCATTTCCTGTTAGAAACATTGAAATCAAATGGAAAAGGTTGTTGAAAATACAGAATTAATTCTGTACCGATTGAGGGCTGTGGATTGTGATGAAATGTTTCATAATCACGAATGCTTGTAAGCCGCATGTTTAGCTCTTTGTTGTGTGCCAGCAACCATTTGTTTTGTTAATGGTTGGACTTAATCAGAAGGTATCTAGTACAATCATCATCCTTTTTTTTTTTTTTTTTTTTTTTTTTTACAAAACAATGCAACAGTACGCTGCTTTGAATACATGATGAGCTGCAGCAATTAGTTGATTAGAAATTATTCTGAAATGTTTTCATCATCAATCATTAAGTATCTTTCACATTTGATTGTTCAAATATGAGATCATTTAGATTATATGCAGTTTTACGTGATAAAGATCGGAATATCTTTGAATGTGGGACAGTTTTTCCTGACAAAAAAATGCATGATGTTTGATGACATCCCCTTAGGCTTTAAGAAACAGTGAATTTTTCAATTGTTTTCTGATGTTTCAGAGGCAAAATTACTAATTGATTACAACATAAATTGATGCTGGTGTGTGGTGCTTGCCATTATATAACAGATGCTTCATCGTCCACCATTTACACAATTAGTCACTTGTCATCCGTGGGGTGGCTTATCATAAATCCGTCCTCATGTTAGGGAAACCTTGTTAGTGTTTAGTTGAGGTCACATGTAGGGTTAGACCAATAATTGCCCAGTCAGATATATATGTGCTGAGACTGGCTTTTTATAGACATATCAGAAATTGCAATAGAGATATGCCAAACTAGTTCTGATGTAATTTGTAAACAGTTTCACCGAGAGAACACTGACAAGGCAAGGCAGGTTTATTTGTAAAGTACTTTCTATACACGAAGGTATATTCAACGTGCTGTACATTGTAGTTAAAAGCAATGCCCTTCATAGATAAAATAACACAATTCAAAGATAAAAAACAAACAGTTTGAAGATAAAACACCACAAATCAAAGATAAAACTAGAATTATACTTAAAATGAAAAGATCTGTATACAAATTAGATCAAAAATAAGATAAAATAATGAAAATAAATAAATGAGAACAGTGAAAGCATAATAATAAGCGCTTGAGAATAACAAGAGTTTTCATTCTGGATTTAAAAATATTAAATGTGCGTCTTAGGATGTATATTGGTCATAATCATTTAAAGGGATCTGTATCAATATTTCATTTTTATATATATTTTATATATGCTGTATCTTTACTGTAAACTCTCAAATACAAATCCCAGTATCAGCCTCAAAACTCCAGTATTGTCAGTCTATAATCTCATTCAGTGTTTTCTTGTATTTAGACAGGGTCAACAGTGGCAGTTCAGTTGCGTCATGAAGTGCTTGTGTATTGAAACTGTACAAGAATGTGCCTAGTGTTATGTTTTGTTTTGACAGGGCTTTTCCCTGACGTGGGAGGTGGCTATTTTCTGCCGAGGCTCCGGGGGAAGTTGGGACTGTTTCTGGCCTTGACGGGCTTCCGTCTCAAGGGACGTGACGTGCAGAGAGCTGGAGTTGCCACTCACTTTGTAGAGTCTAAGAAGGTAACTCAAGTTGACATGAGATAAGCTCACAATGCTCCGACAAATATTTAATGTTTTATTAAGGTATAAAGTAAAGAAACAGAAAATACTGCAGATCAGAACAACCTGGATTCTTCCAATATACACAGCAAAAACCGCCCTTCTAGAAAGAAGCCAAATATTCTCAAATATAATCAAGTTTTCTTGTATTGAGTAAAAAACATCTGCCAATGGGGCCAATAGCTAAAATTCTTAAAACTTACATAATAATCTAGCCACCGAAAGACTGTAATGGGCCTTAAAACTAGGAAAAAATTATTATTACAGGCAACTCAGTTACTTAAAATAAACATTTTGGTCACTTTATTGAGCTGAACTTAAGAATTTGTACCTTTTTTTTAAGATAATAATTACTAAAACATTCTTACGATAAAACACAATTTCTCCAAACAGCACAATAAAAAGAAGTGACTTTGTCTTAGATTAGAAGCATTATTTTTATCATTTTTTTATTAAAGCAATAATGAACTAAACAGCTGTTTCCTTTTAAAGACAAGACTGCTTTCTCTTAAACTGAGAAGTTGTGCAAGGGGTCTTAAAATAAGGAAAATAATCTGGGATATTGTACAAACCATTGTTGTAACTTGCTCAATATTAGACAAAAAAAAGACAGAAACAAGGCTTTCTTCCTTTCTTCCTTTTTTGCTGTGTATTGCTTTCAGTTCATTATCTAAACCACTTAACAGCCGGTGCACTGTGTGAGGTGATGGTGATGCTGCTGGGACGAGTGCAGGATGGGAGCATGGTGGGGGAGGTGAGGTTAAGGCTCCACTGGAAAGCCGGATGTTGAGTCACTGGGTGTCTCACTCTTGTTTAAAAGTGCCAGCGTACAGTGGCCGGTCCAGAGGACAGGTTGTGTTTGTCTTGCTGTTGGCGTGAGGGCAGAACAGTGGGCAGCAGAGTTTGTTTAAGGCTGTAACCTTGGTTTTCAGGACGAACGGCGGGGTGGATTCAGTTTATTTTACAATACTTACAGCCAACTTTGACCAAAAACAAGGCTGGAAAAATATCAAGTCTGATTGATAAACTTTGGTTGAGAATAACGATCTTTAGTTTGTTCCTGGAAAACATGGAAATTTAGGGGCTAGTTTTCCAGTCATGGAAACACCTGGAAATCAACTGCAATGACCAAATATCCTGGAAATAATCTCTGTTGTCCAGGAAAATTCTAACTAAGCCCTTCACTCAGGTCACATACGTACACTGAGGTGCATATTTTGTTTAAAGCTCGACTGTTTGTACGATAAGTTAACCAGAATAAAACTTCCCTTGTCATTCCTGCTCCCATGTCAGTCAATCTAGCTGTTCACTCCTGTTCACACTTGTTGTGGTTGATAAATACATGCACAGTGATGTTAATTGTAGCTCTAACAAACACTTTAAGGTTCAAGGTTACTTTATTTGGTAGATTTGGTTTGCAAATCTGGTTGCTGTCCTGTATCATCGGGGAAAATGTCCTGGAAAATGATTTTAAAAAAGAGTGGGAACCACGAATAAACCATAACCCAAATTAAAAACTATTTCAGAGTGTGCATAGTGCACTTGTACTGTTTCAATTGCTGCCTGATTAGTTCAAACCTGCACATAAATCCACAAAGAAGAAATCAGAAAATCCAGAGCAGCCACTTATTTAAAAATGTCTTTCCTTCCTGAGACTCCAGAGGGAAAGATCTGCCTGCATCATTAAAATGTGATCTCTCTTAGAATCAACAAGCAAACACATTTACAAGCACTTTTTTTTTCAGTTTTAATGTCAAACCTTGTACTTTAACAGATCCCAGACCTGGAGAAGGAGCTGGTGGACTTAAAGTCTCCCTCTGCTGATGATGTCTCCAGGGTGCTCGAATCATACCAGAACCAGGTTAGAATCTTTACACATGTAAACCAGAATTAAGACTTAAGTTGAGCTTAATATATCCAAAACCTTCAGACTTCTGTTTTCATGTGAACTCCTGAGAGTCTCAGCCTCAGTCTCAGTCTGTGTTGATGACTTCATTCTCTGTCCACAGAGTAGTCTGGATTCTGAGAAGCCTTTTGTCTTGGACAAGCACATGTCTGATATTGACAGGTAGGCCTTGAATATAATATAATGTATATGATATAATGAACATAACCTGACTGATGTGTCACGAAAACTTATCAACAGCTAGTTGAAAGGATAAGATATCATATTCTATATTTCGATGACAAATACCATGAAAAGACCAAAACCAACATTGTTTTCAAACCTAGAACATATATAACAATACATTTAAATATATAATTTTAAAACTCTGTCTAACACAAGTGGGTGTCGGGATCCACATCACAACTTTTACAACAATGACAGTCACAAACAATATCGTTTGAATTACTTTCAAACCGATTTGATGAACAATATTTTAGTATATAACTTCAGAAATGCTTAAAGAACTTTTTTTTTAAAAACAGCATTTTTTCTGAAACATACTACCAAACTGTCTTTAGCGCTGATGGCGTCTCAACTTTGTTTGGTCCTTACCGATGTCCTCTCATACGGAAGAATTAATACATTTTAACTCTCATAACAGAGTGTTGGATTCTCCTAACACTGTTCCATCAAACACATCTGTATATAAACAGGTGTATATAGTGTAAATATAACTACATGTACTACTGTATTTTTGTATTTTATTTGTATTTAAATACATTTCCTTATCTATTGTGTTGTGTTGTATCTTGAGCTGCCGTAACAAGTGAATGTCCCCAGTGTGGGATCAATAAAGTTGATCTTATCTTATCAGTGTAGATGCTCACATCTTTATCGTATTTTTATAGCTGTCGTTCTCCGTGTGGACAGCCCTTTAATCTTTCCGGCTTTCCTACCCTGCTGTGGCACTCTGCACCAAGACCAATCAGTCCTGCTCTCCAAACGCTGATCAGTAGTTTCCTAAAACAGCAGCAGCATTGTAGTTTTACCAGATGTTATTCAAACAGTAAATAGTGTATTTATTGGGGAGTATTTTTATTTTAGATTTGATTTTGATTGACGTTCATTTTGTTGACAACAGAATATCACAAAAGGGACCTGAAAGCATCACAAAAAACACAAATAAGGGGTTACTGTTCTTAACCTGCTGAAAACATGAATAAATGTTGGTCTTTTCCTCCTTTCAGGCTGTTCAGCGCCAGCAGCGTGGAGGGCATCGTGCAGAACCTGAAGGCGGACGGCTCAGAGTTCGCTAACAAGCAAGCTGAGGTGTGACCCTGACCTGCAGCTTTTAGCTGAATTTAGTTTGTTCTCCAAGTAATTGTACAGAAATCTAGCAGCACTGGTGCAGAGGCATGCTGACAGCCTTTTACTATCAACTGTCACACATGTACCTGCTGTACATTGTGCTCATAGAAACGTATTTTAAAGAACTGCTGTACAGTCCCCTCTGTGGCGCTCTGTTACACAGATAAATCCCACTGGCAGCACTGGAATGGAGCCAGGGTTTTAGTATATGTTAGTAATTAGTAGTTACTTCAGTTTAAGCACTTAATGGGGTTAGTCTTAGTCTTATGTCTTTTTAAAAAATCCCTCCTGTGAGATTTCAGAGCTCTTGAGAGACCACAGTGGTTTTATTCCTCAGATTTTCCCTTTAATGATTCTATAACTGACTCTTCGTGTATGTGACTCTTCTCTCGGGTTTTATATTTCACGCCATTTCCACCCAAATGCTCCAACGAGATCAAATCTAGATAGGAAGGCGTATAACCTTATGCAACAGTGCACATGCCCCACATAAGAGCCCCCCCAACACCCCTCCCCTGGTCACTCAAAGTCCACTCCAGGATTAATAATGCTGTCCCACCAGTCCGCTGCTCCACTGACTCATAATGACCTGTTTGTTGTTTCATTTGTGACATTTGAAATGAAGTTCACATTTTCTGGCTGCTATCATTCTGCTGGATTCCACAAACATGTAAACACTTCCAGGATCCATTCGAACCACGAAAATCTGAATTGGAGCCGGGGGGGTCAGCACAGGCTTTAAATATTTATTATAAACCCACTTCCTCAGTTCCTACTACACAGCTGACTCACTGTCCTGCCTTTCACATTAAACATTGAAAGCCATCTTAATCCTTAGTTACACATCGCTTTGCTTCTTTTTCTTTTTTTTGTTATCTAAAAGCCGATCATCACCATCTTTCTGTCTGAGTCTCTCACACAGCCTGTGTCTCCTCTCCCAGACACTGGCCAGGATGTCTCCCACGTCCCTGAAGATCACCTTTAAGCAGCTGCAGGCGGGTGCAGCTCTGAGCCTTCCGGACGTGTTGGTGATGGAGTATCGACTGAGCCAGGCCTGCATGGTACCATAGTTTGAGTAGTTCGTTTGATATTAGAGTAATATATAAAAAGGACGTCATTAAAGGTGGGAAGTACAAATACTTTGTTTCTGTAATAGTTTTTATCTTTGAGTATTTATTTTTCTACAACTTTTTACTTTTAGTCCCTACATTTTCCCATAAATATCTGTACTTTCTACTCCTTACATTTTCAAAACAGGTGTGTAACTTTAGTTTTAATGCATTTGAAGGGGAATTATTGATTTTTATTTTTTTTTGCTTCATTGCACACCTTCCCAACATCAAGAACAGTGCATATCATGCATGACAGATGTAACATGATGAAAAAGAAAAAATTTTAATCCCCATTTTCTCACAACTGTAACAACTGTTTTTGTATTCTGATTACATAACTCTTTTACATGTAATCCATTACTCCCAAAGTCTGCATCTCATGGGATTGTTTCTGTTGATTTTCAGAGGGGCTGTGACTTCTACGAGGGTGTCAGAGCTGGTAAGTGAGTGGATGGAAAGCAAAAGAGGAAAATGGTGGATTTAAATGATGTAGTATAATTTGTATGGAGCCATAAAGACCTGAAGTACAATGAAAAACAAAGTAATATTGATTCAAGACGTTATTAAAAGGGTCATTAAATAATAGTTTTCTGGATGTTTACAGTGCTGGTTGACAAGGACCAGAGTCCCAAGTGGAACCCGTCCACACTGGAGGAGCTGTCTGACCAGACCGTGGAGCAGTGCTTCTCCTCGCTGGGAGAGAAAGACCTGACTTTCTGAAGACTGTCAGCCAGCAGCTGCTTCCCACCTTCAAAACACACACCACTAAGCCTTCGCCAGGCCTGCTGTCCCCACATCCCTTTATGGTCTGTGAGAGTGACTGTAGTGCTGAGGATGAGAGAAAGTCTGTTATTTTATGACAAGCACATACATAGGTCATATACCTAATAGTTTGGACTCTGTACTTTTAAATACTGTGGTGACATTTTACAGGAGACATCCAGGCTGCTCCTCTGCAGCTGAGGAAAACAATCTGATTCACCGTTCACAGCCAGAAATCTAAAATAGTAACAGAAGAAGTAGCTAATAGGCGCCTTGTGTGTCACACATGAAAAATGTTTAGAGTAAACTTGCTCTGCAGCGGAGTGGAGTCTCTTCTGCTGTAAATTCAAGGAATCTGCAGCACCGCAAGCATTAACAGGGGAGGGCGAATATGATCTCATCACTGAGTGCTTTATTACATTTCCTGTGAGTGTTTGTTGATGTGACATTGATCAGCATAATCTGTATTTCTGCTGTGTGGTCACTTGTACTAATTTAGATAATGTATTGTCTCCATTTCCGCAGTTTTTGTCTTTTTCTGGTGTTAGTGGTATCTGTATTCTCACATGAATAAAACAAGTATTATCTGACATATCCAACAAACACTCCCAAGACAAACATCCGATTCAGAAATATGTCAGTATTTGTACTGAATGCATTTACATGACTCTAGACAAATATGGTTCCAGTAGTTTGAAATGTGTGTGTGGTATCGTGTCACTGTTTTTCAGTAGGAATCAAATCACCTCCCCAAAATCAATAGCTGCATTATTTATGAGACAACCAGTCAGATTAGGCATCCATGCTGGAACAGAGAGCAATAAAGAGAGCTGGTAAAGTAACATAAACTGTCGTGTGTTCTTGGTAAGTGAAGAAACTGCTCCGGTGTAAAAGGAACTACAGTTATTGGTGGGCAGGAACTTTTATGAGCTGCTTATAAAGTGTCCTTGTAAAATAGTGACCGGTCTTTATAAAAGTCCCTTAGTTATCAAGCACTCAGCTGCTGCTCTGATATAAAGTCTGCAAAGTAAACACTTTAATTGCATGTTGGGTTACAAACCGCTTTGTTCCACCTACAGTGCTGGCAGGAAGTCTTACATATTTTATTTTACAGGTATATTTGTCTGTTACAAAGGTTACGTTCACACTGCAGGCACAAGTGGCCCAACTCAGAGTTTTTTGCTCAAATGCAGTGTTATAAAGGCAATAAAGCATTAATATTATTATTAATAATACAGAAATTATATTACTTTTACCAGTAACTAGTAGTATAACTAATTACTAATACAATTCATTAACAATATTACAGTCACTATAGTTTGTGTTCAGGTTTTCAAGGTTTAGGTTCCTTCCGTGTTTAATGTTTTAAGTTTTTTTTACACCCCGTAAAATCCAGATAAACCACTTTACTTCATATCTGTTTTAATTCTCCTCTACCTGCCTCAATAATCTCATTTCAATAGCAGCCTCTTATAATCTGTGCACCTCCAACTGCTGCAGCCAGTTTGAGACTCTTTCAGCCGTCACAGCGGCTCAACAGGCAGCTGGGATGACCTCCCACATACTGTAGGCAATAAACTGCTATAAACACAGAGAGCGCAGTGTTTCTCTCGGCGTCGCAGATAAACCCTCATGCTTTATGGCTTCCATTTGCTCTTCAAACAAGCGCTGGCCAGCAGTCACTTCCAAATCCTCTTGTTTGTCCTCTATGTGGCTGAACTTTTAACCTGCTGTGTGTTGACTCTCATACAGGATGCAGCATATCCTCTCCTGCCTGGTTCAACGGGTCCGTATGTGCCGCTAATATGTGTTGAAAAACGGTGATTTGGAAAGTAATGATGAAATATTTCAGTAATGATAGAAGGCATAAATCTGATTTATTGGCATCATCAGCTTTTACACACACACACACACACACACACACACACACACACACACACACTGTATGTACAGTTTGCAAGTTAAATGGATATTGTTGTACTACAGGAATATGCAAAAAAGTCACACATTTTAAGTTATTTTATGATGAAATATTCACAGGCCGACATGAATCGTCTTACAGAGCTGCATCCCGGAGGCTATTTTTCACTTATTTGGCAGCAGACAAATCCTGGAAACTGTTCATCAGGATATTGTGTTTCACTTTATAGTCAACTTCACCACTCTTTGACTTGTACATCAGAGGCATTGTGGGTACAGGCAGGGGCGGATCTAGAGGGGTGTCAGCTGCCACAAACCAATTTGAGGTCAAATTTGACATTAATTTAGATTAATTTTATTATTTAATGATCTGTTATGGACACATTTTAGACTAATTGGTAGGTTTAAGTTCAATAAGCGATGAATATTTGGAAATATTTCTGAAGAGATTTGTATTCAATGCTTTACTAATGTGCCATAATTAATGTTTTTGAGTTTAAATATCTTCATTTGGGGGCTTTTCTAAGCAACTATTGATATATGTGATTGTCTGTGATTTAATCAGCAGATATTTCTACCATCCCTCAAAAGTCTTCTGTGGCTAACCCATGACTATTTCTCTAGATCCCCCCTGGGTACAGGAGTCCGAACCCTGTGATCACCTGCACCAATAACAGTGATATAACACCAACCTGTGTCATAGGTAGTGTTTTATTGCAGTGGTTTTCAAACTGGGGTCTGGGATCTGTTTTTATTGATTGTAATTTGTCAGTTTGATCATTGACAAATTTATCAGACGGGATTCCATAAGACAAAATCCTCTCATACTGGGGCTCCGTGGTCTAATGTGCATTTATTGTGGGGGGAGAAAAGTTTGGGAACCCATGCGTTATTGGATTAGCTGATTTGGTTTCAGGCTAGTGGCACAGCTTTGAATCTTTTAATCTTTTTACTTGACGTAACCAGGCAGCATAATATCTGTAGTGAAGGGAATTAAAGAATAGCCAGTTCACTATTATTGTCACTATTGTTCTGGCTCCCAAAGAACCCTTAAGCCATTAATTTAAACAAGAGCTGCAGTAACAATGTCAGCTATTTGTAAAAATGTATTTGTTTGTGTTTAAAAAGAGAGTTTTCTTGTGATTTGTGTGTCCACATGTAAGGATTTGATGCTTTTCTTTGTCATATCTGATAGTAAACTGAACATCGTTGGGTTTTGGACTGTTGGTTGAATAAAACTACCTACTGATATATATTACTTTGGGCTGTGGGGAATTTAAACAGGCATTTTCTGGTATTTTCTGACATTTTATAAACAATAAATCAAGAAAATAACTGGAAAGATTAATTGATAATGAGAATAATAATTAGTTGCAGCCCCACAACCTGCCAGACTTTGCACCTCAGAGAATCTAGCCTTTTCTTTTATGAATAAATCCTGCAAAGAGTGTTGAATGAGTCTGGCCAATGTTGCAGCGATTCCCGTCTCAGTCGAAACACCTGCTGGTGTTAAATAATTTAAAATGGGTGACCTTTAAAAACTACAAATCACAGTTTCCAAAAGGAAGCATTGGCAGTCTTTCGGTCAGTGTTAAAACGCGTCAGCTGGAAGACACAAATGTTTGAATGAAGACGTTCACATTGGATCAGATTTTTAACTCTTTGTTTTGCAGATACGGTCTCTTCATGGCTGCCCAAAGAAGGAAAATCATATTCACTGTTTTTCTTCTAGACAACCACAAGACCTGGTATTTGCGAGAGTTAAAAGATAAGAAAAAAAACATATCTTGTGAATCTGTAAACACAGAAGATACCACGATTTGTATATTTTTTTCTCAGTGATGACAACATTTTGCACAGTAAAGCCAGACATCCGCATTATGGCAACATCTTTGACATACAGCCTAAGTATAGATTGCCATCACCTGGTTCGGTGTGGTCTAAATGTCAATAAAATCATGTAAAATAAAATCATCCTCCAGCGTGTGAACTGTAAAGAAAATATGCACCTTTTAATTGCATGAACTGATCAAACGACGACTATCTCTTCACACAGCCGTCAGTTCTTTCTTGTGCTATTGAAACAGGCCCCTTTGGGTTTTTTTCCACATCCCAACATTCACACGAAAACAGTTCTCAGTGACATTTTATCTGACGCCCAAACAAATGGCATCAGATTAAGAATCGGGAATATGACGTGTGGAGAGCTGTGTCATCTCTAATCTTTAGGGTGTTCACAACATGTTTGGGGGGAAAGAGATTCATCTGTCCACACGGATTAGTGCAAGTTTTATGTGTTAAGTGATGCGTTTGGCGGAGGTGTTTTATCGCACACGTCGTGTTTCTTTCAAGAAACCTCTCAGATGATCAATTGTCACCCAGCTCACCTAAACAATACAGCTTGTAAACGGAGGCTTTGAAACGCCATTAACTGGGGGTTTTTTGAACACTGCTGTTCTTCACTACAAAAAATGGGCACAGCTTCAGACAGCACTGAAATGGCATTTGTATTGGTTCGACTTCCCCAATACAGTGTTTGGTACTGGTCAGTTTTATGTCAATACTGAAACGCTGTTACTGTTTATAAGAGGAAACCTGGGGAAAAGGCAAGTGGAGAGAATACCCTGCCACTGTTTTATATGGCTTATCAGCTTGTGTTAAAGTATTCTTACCATTAATGGTTCCTGCTATTATGTTTTTTTTTATTTGATTGACCATTTGAAAGTCCCGCCTCTTTTTTGCTCTGTGCCCCAATAAGAGTTGAGCAAGCCTCGGTCAGAAGAACCTCCATCAACTTTCCCCTTTCTTGTACTTAGATATGCTACGTGCAAACGCTAAACTCTTCTGTGTTGTAAAGACAAGCAAATTTGAAGATGGTTAAAAGATAAGCAACGTGTAGCCGCATCTTAAAAAGGACCGGGATTTGCAGGCTGTAACCAACTGAATACAGCTCGTCTTCCAGGTGTGTAGGAGAATCTATGGTGGCCTTCATGTAACGTAAAAACATAAATGGCCCTGTCTAGAGCAGGAGTTTGGTTTGTCCAAGTACAGTTGGCTGAGGTTCCCAAAAGGGGCGGGGCTTAGAAAGGGTAAATTAATACAACACTATTCAGAGCTATTATCACTGCAAATAGCTGTGTGGCAGTTAAAGTGTCCTCATCAATGCTCTTCGGAAGAGCCTAGCTATCGGTGTTAATTTTGGGTAAATCCCAATGACATCAGTTAGAGTTCCTGTGCACGATCTGACCTCTGAGGCCCTCGGCCTGCAGCTACACGCCCCCTCTGTCCGGTGGACAAAGACCGGACCCTTATAACGTCCCCTCTCACATAAATCATATAGTATAAAACAATTAATCTAAACTGTACTGGGCCCATAGTAACATTCATTAAGGACTTTGGCGGTTGTGAACCTCTATTCCAAATATATCTACTCTGGTATGTATAATCGCCCTCTGTTACGGAGCAGCACCACACTAGAAGTCACATATATACTGGATTGTAATGTCATGGGTTTCCAGGTTTGCATATCTGTGCTGTTGTCCTCTGCAGGGCAGATGGCAGTATTTCTCGGTCAGGCGTTGTACAATGACACAATGTTGACAAAAAACTAGGCCTACAACATTTTAGCCAAAACCAAGTTGTTGTTTTTTTTTTTTTTTTTAACAGTTCTGTTGACATAAATCCTTTTTGAAAAGTGTGTCAATCCTTCCTCGTGCCCTGGTTTCTTTATAGCTGAGAGATCAGCAGGTCCGCTGTTATCTGGGCCATAATGTCAAAATGCCCAAACTGTGACTTGTGTATACAGAATATCCTGGAGTGCAGGAAATACATAATTTGTACGCATAATTTCCTGGACCCATTTGAAGGACCCTGCCTGCTGGATGGAGGGCTGCGGTCGAGGCTGCCTAATGGCAGTGAGATGAGGAAG